GGACGGCGACCGGTGCTTGAGGTACCTAAAAGCACCGTTAACGGATCGGGAGGATCCGTAATGACGTGATACGGACGTACAAGCGGTGTTCGATTTCGAAATATTTACACAATCTTAAAGAACCGCAGACAGTGCGGGTTTATTGCTGCTCAAAACTACACATCGGACACCGAACGAATAATCGATATAATTTTGTTTTATTTATCATATTATTATGAAAAATCTTCTTTTTTTTCACCTTATCCCACTAGGTGGGGTCGGCACAACTAGTTATTCTCTTCTATCAGCCGTCATCTCAACACTCACTCCTCTCTCTCTCATATCGTCATTCACACACTCCATCCATGTCTTCTTCGGTCGACCTCTTCCCCCTCTACCTTGCACTACCATTTCCATACATCTCCTATTATTATGAAAAATGTCCATGAAAAATGTAAAGTACTCGAACCGTCGAAAAGAACATTATGATAATAAAAAAAACACGATATTAAACTGTAAGAAAATAATTTCTATTAGATCTACGACCCGTGAAAACCGAAGGATATACTACATAGGTACATAATTGAGAAAATTTATTTTGTATTCATATCACTTGAATAAACCTTTCCATTTTTGAATTGACATCGACTTTTCAGCCTCCAAAATCAATTAAATACCGTCACGCCATTATTTAATGATAATAATAGCCGGAAACACATCACACGCGGTCATCTAACTAGCCTAGCTAGGATTGATTCCCTGTGCTATGGGAACCAGAGATTGTCATACATCCTTATATACCTTTAAATATATACAGACATATAGATATTAAGCACCCAGACAAAGAGCAAACAAAACCGTTCATCACACGAATGTTGGACCGATGGGGGTATCGAACCCACAAACCTCGGCCGAGGAATTAGAGGCGATAACGACTTCACCACAATAAATTCTCCGAAATTAAAAAAAAAAAGAATACCGACTTCAACGAAATAAAATTACAATATCATCAATTTAGCAGTCGAAGTCAATTAAATACCTATGCATTATTAAGGATAACTCAAAAACTACCGCTCAGATCATGATAAAACTTAAATAGGACCATATGATAATCACCAAACATTTTAAAAAAAGAATCATCAAAATCAGTTCTGAGGTAGCACGCATAAAAACAGTTAAGTCGAATTAAAAAACTACTCGCGTTTTTTTTAAGTCGGTTAAAAGCCGCGTTTACTTAATTTTCTTCACAACTACTTCAGTCGTCGACTACAATCAGGTACAATAACAGCATGTTTAACTTTTATACATAAAGTTAAAAAGAAACAAATTAAAATAAAATACTGAATCAGCACATATCTGCAAAAAACGAACTATAAACTATGTATTAAGATTTTTGAAAGAGATTCAGTTTAAGAAGTGGGACATACGCGCATGCGCAGAGGTCGTGAATCTGCGGCCCGCTTGAACGATTCAAGGGACCCTCAGCCTAATCCTAAACCTACTTTGTACCTTTCCAATACGAGAGAGCGCATACCTGAAAGACTACGGTTACAAATGGCCAAGGAAACCAGTGATGTAAGGCACATAGCAAAACTAACCTACAACTAAACCAATATTACTAATTACAATTTGAAGCAGGATGGCGTGGGGCTGAAGAAACACCATCATCATTCATCATTATCCTGCCCTTCTCCCAGTCACCTGGGGTCGGCGCAACATGTTTTCTCCTTCCATACTCTTCTATCATATACCATTTCTTCGCTCACTCCCTTCTTACCCATATCGTCTTTCACGCAATCCATAATTAATCCATAATGAAAAAACACTATAATTTGTAATTCAAATGTAATGGAAATGAGTAGTACGCGTTCAAAGTCATTTCGGGGAGCATATTATGGATTAACACAGTAGAGATGAACTTCGTTTCCCTTAAAACGTATTGCAGTCAAAATAAGAATATGGGATCATCTCGTACAATTAATTAGGGAGTAATATGATCTTAAGAGCCCAGAGATGGAGGCAGTGCACCACGCCGAAGATGGATATGTGTTATGAAAAAGAAAGTCTTCTAACGGGAAGAATAAATCCGGCGATTTCCTCCGCACACTAATAAGTATTTTTTTACTTTTTTATTACTTTGTTTACAATGCCGCAAATTATGTGGATACATAAATAGATGTTAAAGGCCCAGACAAAGAAACATGCACTGTTTGAAACACGTATGTTTGCCTGCAGTGCGAGTCGAATTCACGACTCTCGATCCAAAAATCAAGGGGCGCGGGGAAAGCAGGCGTATAGAAAATACTCTGAATAGAAACTTACTTCAGTTTAAAAGATATATAATTATCTTCAAACATACAATTTGATCGATTAGTTCATTGTTAAAGTTCGTATCTGTGAAATTTTCTGCAGTGATAACTTGTTATGGGAAGTAAAGCGCATCGTTACGTAACGCGTTACGGCGCTAGTCTATCTAGCTTCCCTTTCTCTCATGCATTACGGCAGCGGTGCTGAGAACGTATGTAACTCCTAACTATTGATATATATCTTTCAATTTATGTTACAAATTTCCTTAGATTATCATATTGATATGCACAAAATTTAGGCAAGTAAAAACCTAAGCTTTTCTCAAGTTAAACAATTTTAATACCTATTAAATAGTTCAACTTAAGAGTAATTTAAGTTATCACTTCACACTTCTGTCGGTGCGTCCCGAGACGCACATGTTTTTTTTGGAACGAAGTTCCTTACGGCAGGCTTGGAGGGGATAGGGATTTTGCTGCGCGACCGAACTAAAAAAAATGTGATAGTAAAACCGTAAGAAAAAATCCGTGGAAAAAAGTGCGTGGAATAAAACCGTTAAATGAGACGTGCGCAGGCGCGACAGTCGTATACACAAGCGAGTAGTGTATAATACCTTTCTCTTTCTCCCTCTTTCTTTTCGTTCTCTCATCCCTTCTCTCTCTATTTTGTAATTATTTCTATTTCTATGTAATTTTATGTTGTCAAACAAAAATAAAGAGACATATTTTGTTATTTTAATTGATAATTTGAATTACGATTTTATTTTTATTGGAACGAAGTTCCTTAGGGCAGGCTTGGAGGGGATAGGGATTTTGCTGCGCGACCGAACTGAAAAAAATGTGATAGTAAAACCGTAAGAAAAAATCCGTGGAAAAAAGTGCGTGGAATAAAACCGTTAAATGAGACGTGCGCAGGCGCGACAGTCGTATACACAAGCGAGTAGTGTATAATACCTTTCTCTTTCTCCCTCTTTCTTTTCGTTCTCTCATCCCTTCTCTCTCTATTTTGTAATTATTTCTATTTCTATGTAATTTTATGTTGTCAAACAAAAATAAAGAGACATATTTTGTTATTTTAATTGATAATTTGAATTACGATTTTATTTTTATTTTACGTAAGTTATTATTTCTAAAATACTGAATTTCCTAAATACTTTCCTGTACTTAAATAAAAACTAATCAGCAAAATTTAAGAGAAAAATCAAGAAAACAAACATAAAATTGAGCACGATTTTTTTTTTGCAAATTGTGTCGATTCTACATTAGCCGAAGGAACTTCGTTCCTACCTGGTGTCCCACGGCACCACATAATTTTTTAAATTGACTCACGCACTCCTTTCCATATCTCTCGGTTCTTTCTCGTTTCAATAACTGCCTCAAATAGACCTGTTAGAGATTTCATTTTCTTTGGTCAATCCAAAGCGTTGGAGGTCGACCTTATTAGGACAGTAGAGCCAAGTTCCTACTCGGTCGACTGTCCCATGATTTACAAGCGAAGTAAATTGACCCTTCATAAAAAGGTGGCACTCTACAAGACTTGCATACGTTCCGTCATGACCTATGCAAGTGTAGTGTTCGCTTACGCGACTCGTACACACGTTAACTCTCTCCAGGTCATCCAATCCCGTTTCTGCAGGATAGCCGTCAGAGCAGCATGGTATATGAGGAATGTAGATCTTCACGACGACCTAAATCTAAAACCGATACGAAAGTATCTTATGGAAGCGTCAGAACGCTACTTTTAAAAAGCAACGCGACTCGATAACTCTTATTGTGGCTATCGCTAATTACTTATCCGACCCAAGCGACGGGACAAAGCAAAGCTGCCGTCATCCAAAATATGTCTGGTCGGATGCCCCGGATCCACTATCGGTACTTTTAAGCTTCTCAAGCATCGGTCATCGTCCTCGTCGAACTGGTCGATTAGAATTCGACATACGAACTAGACCATAGACACAACCCACTGAATTTCTCACCGGATCTTCTCAATGAGCCGTAATTCCGATCCGGTGTTATTCAGCGAAGCACTGCTCTTGCTAAAGCTAGTGTTAGCCATACTCGCAGATTGAGCCCATGAGCTCACCTATTGGTCCGCTCGAAGTTGGAATAGCCCCTTAGGCTAACTACGATTAGGTAGGAAAAAAAGTCGAAGATCGACCGTGAGATCTCCCGTCATTTCACCGAACAAAATAAGAATTCCTAGTTTATATATTTACGTGATACATAATATCAATACTAAAGTAATAACGTAAACGATATCATAGGTAGTATATCACGTATAGCCTCGGTGTGGGTACCGATTTCTCTAAGTTAATGCGTGCCTACTTAGAATTGGTCCCGAAAAATTATAACCATAAAAGATTAACGTTTTCGTTTATATTCGACGTCATCAGGAATAAAATTTAATTAATATAATGGAAAGTAGAAATGTGTGTGTTTTGTAATTAATAATAACAATGTGCAAATAAATAATGTGATAAAGAGGAAATTAGCGGCGTAATGGAAGACAAACAATTGGCTCAGCGAGAGGGAGACGCAACATTTCGCATCTAACAACGAATATTGTTAACTCTGTGAGGAGAAACTAGACTAAACTTCTTCCGAATACTCATTTCAGAATGAAAATGATAATAACTTTATTTTATTACACGTTCGACTAATTCTACAACACTTTAAGGTCCGTGCATTTAATATAAGACCATTTTTATTCTTATTTTTCAATACGTTTGTCCGTTAATGCTAAATACCCGAGATGTCTTGCAAGCTTGAAATAACTTGACTTTGTTAATACTCTATTAGACTCCTAGTTTCAGAATACTGATAAGAGATGTCGCTACACGAACATAAAGTACCCACCCAGTTTCGTTGTACTAAACCAGGGATTATTAAACGGGTCCATGTCGACGATGACTTAACCTATTTTTTTTTAATTATAAACTATTTTGTATCAATATGAAAAAAACTAAAGTTAGGATTTTTAAAGAAATATCATTTTCAGAGGTATGTATCTTATCTATTATTTGGGAATCCCCGTGCTAAACTAAATTTGTGGGAAAAAAAAGAAAAAACTACAAACAGAACAGCTTATCGACTAAAACGTCAGACGGCTGCGCGTGCACGTACTGTCCCACTAGATACGACAGTTAGGATTTTTAAAGAAATATCATTTTGAGAGGTAAGTATCTTGTCTATTATTTGGGAATCCCCGTGCTAAACTAATTTAGTGTAGAAAAAAAAAAACTACAAAAAGAACAGCTTATCGACTAAAACGTCAGACGGCTGCGCGTGCACGCACTGTCCCACTAGATACGACAGTTAGGATTTTTAAAGAAATATCATTTTGAGAGGTAAGTATCTTGTCTATTATTTGGGAATCCCCGTGCTAAACTAATTTAGTGTAGAAAAAAAAACTACAAAAAGAACAGCTTATCGACTAAAACGTCAGACGGCTGCGCGTGCACGCACTGTCCCACTAGATACGACAGTTAGGATTTTTAAAGAAATATCATTTTGAGAGGTAAGTATCTTGTCTATTATTTGGGAATCCCCGTGCTAAACTAAATAGGTTGAGAAAAAAAAAACTACAAAAAGAACAGCTTATCGACTAAAACGTCAGACGGCTGCGCGTGCACGTACTGTCCCACTAGATACGACAGTTAGGATTTTTAAAGAAATATCATTTTCAGAGGTATCTATCTTGTCTATTATTTTGGGAATCCCCGTGCTAAACTAATTTAGATGAGAAAAAAAAAAACTACAAAAAGAACAGCTTATCGACTAAAACGTCAGACGGCTGCGCGTGCACGCACTGTCCCACTAGATACGACAGTTTGTGGGCGTATTGACAGGGCGCCGGCACACGCACCGTCCCCGGCCAGTTGTAGTACAAGTGACACATCTTGTACGTCAAACGCTGACACTGATCCGGGGTGATCCCGCTGTCGTCGTAGACCACCACGTAATGGGTTGGGGTGACAGTGCCCTGGGTCACTTTCTGCGAGACGATCAGGAAATCGTACCTGGAATCGAACGAATACGACTTAGATTATTTTTTAACTTTTATTTGTCTACTAGCGAGCCGCCCTCTCTTCGCTTCGGAAACTGTAATTTATTATTGATTTCTTATTATTTAATGGATGTTATTATACATATAAACCTTCCTCTTCAATCACTCTATCTATTAAAAAAAACCGCATCAAAATCCGTTGCGTATTTTTAAAGATTTAAGCATGCATAGGGATAGAGAAAGCGACTTTTTTTTAATACTATGTAGTGATATCGTCGCTGCCAAACCAAAATCTGCTATGTGCAAAAACTCTATTTTGAATTAACGAGTAAAAACATTTTCGTATAAAAAATTATATAAAGGTGAATTTTTAAGAATTATATCAAATGAAAGCTATAGATAAATATTAAAGCTATAGACACATAACAGTTTTTTTTATACGGTAGATAGGGCTGTGAACTATACGTAAAAATTAAAAAGTAAAAATCTCAAAAAGTGCACATAGCAGATTTTGGTTTGACAACGACGATATATTAATACGTGAATCAAAAACTTTTTACCCCTTTTTAAGAAAATTGCGAGGACGGAGGAGTATGAGATTTACCACACTTATAGAATATCTAATATATAAAATTCTCGTGTCACAGTTTTCGTTGCCATACTCCTCCGAAACGGCTTGACCGATTTTGATGAAATTTTTTGTGCTTATCCGGTATCTATGAGAATCGGCCAACATCTATTTTTCATCCCCCTAAATGTTAGGGGTAGTCCACCCCTAAATTTTTATTTTTATTTTTTAGACAAAATTTTTAATTTCTATTTTTTTATGATACAACATACAAAAATACATACAATCCTCAATTTTCACCCTTCTACGATCAACCCTTATTTTTTATTTGCTAATTAAAAACTTTAAATTTTTTTGCGAGAATTTTGTTTTTATTTTGTCATGACGTAGAATAAAAAAATTCATATTACTCTGAAATTTTCACCCCTCTACGATCAACCCCTATTTTTAATTTGTTAATTATTAACTTTAATTTTTTTGGCAAGTTTTTTATTTTGTTTTGTCATGACTTAAAATAAAAAAAATCATATTACTCTCAATTTTCACTCTTATACGATCAACCCCTATTTTTCCATCCCGATTAATATTTTTTTATTCTATGCACAGATCCGCAATAAGGTTGCAAGATGGCAATCAAATATTATAATTGTAGTAAGATAAATTCTTATTCAGAGTTTATAATTTCAAGTTCCTTTAATTATGATTTTTTTTAAATTGAATTTGATCTCCCGCCCTCGCCGGTCGACTACTGATCAACTATCAATCGATGAGCTATCCCCGCCAGGTGTCACCACTCATCCAGCAAACATCACGTAGTAGGGATGAGGACGAAGCCGGTCTCCTGTCTTACTTACTCACTATATATCATAGATTATACACTTAATATATTTGAGATCTATACAATACTATACATTTTTCAGCCATGTTTTTTTGGTTTTATTTGTGTATCAATAGTAGGTTCAGTAGGTCTGAGAATCGGCTACTATCATTTTCATACCCCTAAGTGAAAAGGGTTGTCCACCCCAAACATTTATTTTTTATTTTATTTTTTGGATATATATTTTTTTTATAATGAGATATTTATTATGTGGTTAAATGAGGTTTTTTTTTACAGTAGAATTTCCCTAGAAATCTTATTTAAGGCAACACAACGTTTGCCGGGTCAGCTAGTATTATATAGAAGGAGTGCAGAATGCTAATATTTTTGAAAATTATACACAAAAAATATGTACATACATTAAATCAATAAAAAAAACATTAACCACACTATCATGTATTTGACACAAGACATATATACACTGTGTTTTTTTATCAAACTTTTGCTATTGTTTAAAGTCTGTGGTCAAATTGAGAATATAATAATATTGTTTGTCTTTAGTATTATTTGTCCTAGAGTGTAACCTTGGCAATATCTGTGATTAGAAATATAACAGTCTTTGACAATAGAACCATGACATGTGATGAGACGAAATGAAAATGAGGTTGGTAAGAGAATGTTGACTATGAATGTGTAAGGAAATAAAGAGGTAGACCTAAGAAGAAATGGATGGATTGCGTGAAAGACGATATATGTAAGAGGGGAGTGAGCGAAGAGATACATATAAGATAGAGGAGTCATCATCATTTCATCATTCTCCTGCCCTTCTCCCAATCACCTGGGGTCGGCACAACATGTGTTTTTCTTCCATACTCATCTATCATATAAGAAGAGTATGGAAGTAGTAAACATGTTGCACTGACCCCAGGTGACTGGGAGAAGGGAAGGAGAATGATCATGAAGTGTAATAAACAAAATTAATAATAAAACTGACCAGTCCCGTCTCGTTATACAGTGATCGACGACGGTCCCGGGGTTCGGATTGTCGTAGCCGTCTCTCGACTTCAGGAAGATCCTAGTGTTGATACGTTTTTGTACGACAACATAGGTCAGGGTAGGCTGGTAGTTCGATCCCAATATCGTGAAGCAAATCTTCATTTGAGGTATCTCGTACTGCTGCAATAACTTCAGCTGCCCGTCACCTACACCGTCTCTGTTGAAGAATCATTGTAAAAATCTATGGAATTCAATGGAATATATTAGTGTTACATTTGTTTTTGCAATCAAATTGCAAATGTAGAAGCTGAGACACCAATGGGTATTGGTCCTTATTTGTAAGACAACCGGGGAAATTCACTGTGTGGTTGTCAATGTATTTCAACAAAACATTTACTGATTATAACATTCCAGTCCTTCTTCATTTTCCCTTAAAAATAAGTGTTTCTATAAACCATAAAGCATTGTTCTATATTAGAAATATGCAGGATTAGCTCACACTGTACTTTATACCCTTATTTACTTTGCCAACATATAATTCCAGTGAATCACCACAATAATTATACTCAAACTACAGTTTCTTCAAAAAGCATTACCGAGTCAACGACTGGCCCCGAAACGATTACCTGTATATGATGATCCTGTCCGGAAGCTGTCCGTTTGATCTCAAATAATGAGTTAACGCATCAACGAGGCAACATTTCAAGCCATCAACTATTTCTTGACCCTTCTCTTGGAAGATCACTTTCGAATACCAAAGCGTCATGCTTTGATTATAGGATGCTACAAAACCTGTAATAATAAAACATTACAAGTTTTGAAACAAATAAATGAAGTTTTTTGTTTTTATTCTAGTTTTAATGAGGCTTCGATCACCTTAAGTGACTGCCAGCCTTGTAAGATAGCACAGACATTTTTATAGAGAACAAAAAAAACGATATAAAAGAATTGCTCAGCTCGATAGGTTCAGCCAACCAGCAGTTCATCTGATCGCCACAGACACTTACTGTGCCCATATATCTGGATCTCAGGTCTGCGTTCCTGTCACATTCCAACATCACCAGATGAAACTTAAAGTATATCAATACTGAGTACTTCAAATTTATAAATAACCCTTACTCGCCCTATTCGCTGGGCATTTAAAATTAACATTATTATTTATTGTCATTATTATTAGGGAGTCCAACATTCATATAAATATTAGCCTATCCATTAAGTACATGTATTTTCTACATGGATACCGAGTTTCAAGTCAATCGGATCCATGGTTCAGTACTTATAACGGAACATCCGTAAAAACCACTGTAGATTTATATATTAAGTATAGATATATAACTCAGTTTTCAGAAGGGTAGCTTAATGAAAGAAAAACACGATTGTAAGAATGCTTCGTTCATAGTGCACTCACTGCAAACGCTCCGGTTCCTCCTGGATGGGTCGTGATACGAATCGATGCCTACAATCATTGCGCTCTTAAACGGTATGCTGATGCTCCAAAGCGTGCCGCCGAGTTTGCAATTCAACTGAAGCAAAATCTTCTGAGTGATCGATCTGATCTTGTTCGTGTTCATTAACGTACGTGCATTTATAACCTGTTGAAAATAATTTTATTATATTAATCTTTTAATAAAAAACAAATATTACTGGTGGTAGGACCTTTTGTGAGTCCGCGTGGGTAGGTACCACCACCCTGCCTATTTCTACTGTGAAGCAGTAATGCGTTTCGTTTTGAAGGGTGGGGCAGCCGTTGTAACTATACTTGAGATCTTAGAACTTATATAACAGGGTGAGTGGCGCATTTGCGTTGTAGATGGGCTCCAGTGACCGCTTAACACCAGGTGAGCTGTGAGCTCGTCCAACTATCGAAGCAATAAAAAAAATAAAATAAAAAATACAAGAATATTATACTCAAAAATCTATTTCTACTGGTATGTCGAAAAAAGTGTTGCCAGCATTACCTGTGAGGGCACGGGGTTGTCAGCACAACAAACTTTCTTAATGGCCGCGTATCTGTCGTCTCTCTTCGTAGAACATATTGCAACGACTAATTGTACAGACGACGTTATGCACTTCTTCAATGCCAGTACGTACGTATCTGTTCTATCATTGGCGAGGGGTACCAATTCAGCGTCAGAAACCATTATACCCATTGGTCGACAATTTCGTTTGAGTGTACTAAGAAAATCCTGTGAATAAACAATAACAAAATTACTTCAAAAATATTTTGTTTAAAAGAAGATTTAAACAATTCAGTTTAGACAGACAAAAGCGTGCTTAATATTTTTATGACTCAAACCAGAAAAGAAACTGGTTAATCTATTTATTATAATAGTTGTGTTCAAGTTTCCTCTAACTTCCATATGAAAAACAGACAGCAGTCTAGCTTATCTGGGGTTTGATTAAAAACAAAATTCATCTATAGATTCAATAATCGGTAAAGGCAATACATTTCAATATCTTTTTCTAATGTTTGTCAAGGGATTTTCCTTATTTTAACATACTTTTATTAGGTCGATTTGTATCCATCAATCTAACTTAACAGAATCTCTTGGATATCGAATGGATTTACATAGCTAAGAACCAGTAGTTCCATCGTTGCCTACCAAATATTTCAATTCACTCACCATAGCAACCTGCTTATCCCTCTGAGTGAACAACAGAACCCATCTCATGATATCCACAGCTTGCATCACACTGTGTTTAGTCACCTCAGAGTTCCACTCTGCATTCGGTTTGCCGGGAACTCTAACATTGTCTCCAAAATACAGTGTCTCTGGTGGCAGGGTACGAGCTGTTAGGTTCACAGTTTCCGGTGCTATACTGAGACCCCAACCCGCTAGACGACTCTTGGCAGTTTCGTTTTTCATTACACTTTCTATGTACTAAGGTTTAATAAAAAAAACATACTATTAAATAATCTCACTTGGTAGGTAGGGATAGGTTTTTTAAAATAGAAACCTCTAATAACATCCTCTATTAAGAAGTAATTGAAGACGTGAGTGGATGAAGGGGTTAAGACAATTTTTAAAATTTTTGAGTTTTTGTATTGAATAAAGGTGTTATGTATATAAACCATATTAGACCTTAAAACTCCGGGCTTAAAGGCTATTTTTAGAAATTGCATGTGATGGAGGAGTTATTTAGGAAGAAAAAGTACAAGTAACAAAAGTTTGTTGCCCGTTTTCTCAAAATTAATCATACCCCCCTCATCCACTCATGTCTTCAATTCTGTATTACAGCTAAATACAGGCACAATACTTTTTGTACTTTTAAATATCTAAATAACAATTTATCCATTAAGACTGAATCAACCCAATCAAATATGTTTGAAGAAATTTTTTTTAGATACTTTTAGACTTTTACTTTACTTGACTTTTAGTCAATCAATTTAAGATATCAAGATAATACCTTCTTAAAAGCGGCATGGCGCTGATTTGGAGTGATCCTCGTGTAAGTAGCTACATCTTTCATTAATCTAAAGTTACTGCGTTGATCATCTGTTAAACCAGTCAATTGACATAACTCCGGAATGAGGCATATCATGAAATCCGTTGGAGTATCTGATCCGGGCATACGTTTTGTGTCTCTGTTGAATTATCAAAAATAAATTAATGCTTTACTTAATTTTGATTTAGCTAATTATGATTTGAATAAAGATTAATGGAAGACTAGGAAACCCCAGTTCCAAAAAATATTACCTTGAAATCAGTAAAGGTTGATCCCAGTCCATTATCTCGATACCATAATTCTTCTTATAATAATCTATAAAACTAATCTGTATAGTTTCACCTTTCTCTGTTTTCTCAAATGTTGATCTCGGACTCATTTTATCGTCAATTGTATCAACTCTGAAAAAATGATTAATCAATGATATTTATAAAAATGAATTGCTGTTCGTTAGTCTCGCTAAAACTCGAGAATGTTATGTCTGTGCATCTGCATAAATAAAAATAAATGCCTTGAACGCTTCCTCATCATTTTGACTAAGCCAACAACTCACCTAAACAATTTCTTGTTATAAGTAGTCATAACAGAGGCTCCTATTAGTATATCTGTCATCTTACGTTTCCAATTAGCTCCTTCAGTTTGCACAACCTCTTTGATCAGAGAGAGAACGGTTTGCGTTCGTAATACACGATGAGTCGAATCTAATGTTAACATCAGACCGCCTTCGTATTCGTCTACTGCTGTTACGTATCTAAAATAAAATTATTATTTTTTGTATCATTAATTAAATTAGATTTTTTTCAACCTCTATTGCACCTTTTTCATATCGATGGGTCATTGTTTAAGTGTTATTGTTCACAGGGTGGTATTAGTTTAAGCGACATTTTTGAAACTTTACAGGAGAGTCATTTGAAGTTTAAAATTTAGAAAAAATATCAGAACAAAAAATTTAGGAAAAAAATCTTAACAAAAAACCTCAAAAAAATTAATTGAAGTTTAATTAAAACATCGAATTGTTGATACTAATACCAAATAAAATGTGCCTTTAATTACAAAGATAAGTGTAGTGTATTAAGCGAAATGTAGCTTAAACCAAATAGCCTTTTACCCCTTGATAATACTTAAATAAATAAGAAATTTTCCAAATAGAAAAAATAAATTTGGAAACACAAATATTTTAATCCAAACAAATTTGCAATGAAAAATATAGTTCTCGCATTGATCAAATTAGAAAATGCTTAAAACACATAGCAAAACATAAAGAACATCTTTAGGGAATGGATGGTAAGCAATGACTCTTTTAAGATGTTTCGGTAAGCATTTTGAAAGTTTTAATTTCTTTTATAAAATTTAATTGTTTCACATCAAAATATGAATTTTGCCTTCGTGAAATATTATATACGTAATATTTTATTATTAATCTTATTAATTTATATAAAGCTAGTAATCGATTACCCAGGCCAAACTTCTAATTTATGCTGAGGTATCTGTATGGCTGCGTGCTCATTGTAATGTTGGCGTCCGAAGCGAATCAATTTCAAATCCTTCATTATACATTTGAACATCACATTGTATATGTGAATCATTTCGCTCAAACGACGTGTGCGACGAAATATAATCTAGATGAAAAGAGAAATTAATCAAATTTAATAATGATTTTATAACACTGCTATCTCGAAGCCACGCCACATTAGTATCTAATTCATCATAATGAAATACATGATGATAATTTACGAAATACATCATTTTATCTATTTTATTTACTATATTATAATTTATATAAAAAATAAAAGAATGAAGTGAACTATCTACTGATATTTCAGACTATTTGTCATTCAAAACAACCAAAGAATGAACAGTTTTTTAGTATAGTTTTGGTGTTAACTAAAATTTCATGGCAGTGTGGAATATTTTCATATGTATTTATAACCATGTGAGAGCATTCCCCTTTTTTTATTATTGCCTTTGTAGGCAGACAAACATACGGCCCACCTGATGGTGAATGGTTACCGTCGCCCATGTACTTCAACTATGCCAGGGACAGAGCCAAGCCGCTGCCTACATTATTTATATCAACGTAATAAACATTACAATAATTGCATTTATCTAAAACAGTGACAGATGTCTAAAATAATGAGAGTAAGAGCAAACATAACAAAAATTAAATTAACCCTTTTCACTCGAGTGATGATTCTCGCTCACCACATTGTTTGGTGCGGAAATTCAATGCACAATGCTACAAACTATATATTTATGTTATTTTATTTGATGATAGCGATCCGCCCTCGCTTCGTTTCGGAAACATTAAAACGCACATGGAACCAAAAAAAATAAATTAAAAAAAAATTTAAAAAAGTAGCCTATGTTCATCAGGGACAATGTCGGCTTCTAATGGAAAAAGAATTTTTCAAATCGGTCCAGTAGTTTCGGAGCCTATTCGAAACAAACAAACAAACAAATCTTTCCTCTTTATAATATTAGTATAGATTGACATCTGCTTTATGTTTTTAATATCTGTTCTTGTTGTTTGTAATTAAATCATATGGTGAGCGATACTTCACTCACCTCTCGAGTGTAAAGGGTTAATCTATAAATACTTACAGAAACGTTTACTTTGCTTTGGTCATATGGGTTAGTAGATACTAAATTACGGACTGCATCGGGCAGTTCGTGTGGCACGTAGAGGGTGGTACCATCGAATGTTTTCTCCTTAAAGTATTCAATGTGCTCTGTAAAAAAGACAAGAGAATATTCAATTTCTCTGCAGTAACTTCTTCAGTTTTATTTTTTAATTTCCCAGACGGGCGAACGAGCTCGCAGTCCACCGGTTTGTAAGCAATTACTCATAGATATTATAGACCATTATGGGAGATCATAGATATTAACAACATGAATGCCACCACCCATCATGAAACATTTTTTTTATTGCCTTTGTAATAAAATTAGGACTAAGCCTCAACTATATAATATAAGAGTGTCCCACTGTTGAGTACTGTAAATATTTAAAATGAACCTTTCCCAATGGTAAAATTTTTAAACATTTTGTCTGTTATTGCATGTAGCTTCGTTGTTTGTGTGATAAAGAAAAAACAATATTTTTATTCATTAATTAATTTTGCTCAATGTAAGGAGATTTTAGACAACCTAAAATAGATAATATAATTACCATTGAGCAATTTGAATCGCAAGTGCTTATAGTCTTGATCTGGTTCAAACTTCACTTCATACTCAAAAACAATGTTCTCTTTGAAATTGAGATAAATGTAGTTACAGGTCACTTCTATAGGCACACCTGTTTCACCTTTCTTTACGACTGGAGGAGTGTCTTTCACCTCCCTCTGGAAAATATAGTTTTTTTAATTACTGCTTACAATTTTTATTTTTTATTGTTTAGATGGGTGGGCGAGCTCACAGCCCACCTGGTGTTAAGTGGTTACTGGAACCCATAGACATCCACTACGTAAATGCGCCACCCACCTTGAGATATAAGTTCTAAGGTCTCAAGTATAGTTACAACGTCTACCCCACCCTTCAAACCGAAACGCATTACTGCTTCACGGCAGAAATAGGCAGGGTGGTGGTACCCACTCGCGCGGACTCACAAGAGGTCCTACCACCAGTAAAAGCTAACAAGCTAAATGAAATAAAGTATATAATTTTAATCCCAAAAATCAGGTCTTTACTTGTCTTCAAAAAAATAAGGATCGATTTTTGTATTTAGAGCATTTTGTTTATCAATGAATTATGCTTACGAAATATTTGTTCTTGGCAACTGAAGATGTCTGTGCTGAAACTGAAGTTTCAGACATTTTTTCAGTCAAATCTTTAATATCGCTTTGTGCACTGCTCGTTACTTGACTGCTTGCTACTTGACTGCTTGCTTTTTGACTGGCTTGCCTGAAATAATAAATTGCGATTTTTCTACAATAAAAAACACTCACTAAATATATACATTACAATTCAGTTTTACAGGGAGTTATATTCTAGATGTTTTTTTTTAAGGGCAATTCCTAATTTTTTGGTTATTCAACAATAGAATTTGATTAAAAGCTTACAAATATTTATGTGACATATACATATTATTATGATAAATAATGCATATTGTACTGCAAATTCGGGGCTTGCGAGATAAAGTGCCCGGTACATTCTAGAGATGTGACTGTGCTAGTATTCGAACCCCAGAGATAGGTATCAATTTTTCTGATGAAATCCATAAATAGCAAATGTGCACAAATAACTTCCACCAAGGAATGACATTATGTAATAAGAATCAAACCCACAAAAATTCTAATTTCGTAATTACTGATTATAGAACGTTTTTTGAGCTTTCACAGTTGGTTACCACCACCCTCCCTATTTCTACCGTGAAACAGTACTGCCGTTCAATTTAAAGGGTGGGGCAGTTATTGAACTATAAACTGAGTCTTAGTAGTCATGTGCCAAGATGAGTGTCGGCATTTGCGTTGTTGATATCTATAGGCTCCAGTGACCATATAATACCAGATGGGACATGAGCTTGACTGCGAATCTCAGCAAGGCATCAGGTATTGAAAGATTAAGGTTTAACTTTTGAGATTATTACTTTCATAGGACTATTAAAATAACTACAGAATGTTTATTGGTTTTTCAATACAAACATTATAATCTGACACTATGCTCTTAATTTCATTTTTAATAGTAAGAATTGATAGGTATGGTGCGTAATCATTAACATACATACATATACCAAGAGGCATATTTGTGATATTAATGTTTTTTTTTTTTATAATATTTATGATATAAAAATGTATTACTTAAACTTACAAGTTCTGAAGCAATTTGAATCCACGTCCAGTTCCAGCTGTTGGTGCAGAAGTTGATGAAGGTGGCACAAAAATTGCTGAAATAAGGAAATGATAATTAGTTCACTTTCATATCCCATACCCTCATGGATGAAATTGAGACGGCTTGTATTTGGAAAATAATACATATTTGACTAGATGTAGATCACTCATCAGAATCTGGTGAATTGAACACTTGGACATGAGATACATAATTACATAGACTAGCTAGCGACAAAAAAAAAGGATCTTCACATCATGTCTGGATAGGTAATTTTCTAACTCTTATTTCATGTTTGGTAATGCTAACAAGTGTGTTATTTTATTTATTTATATAATATATTTTGTACACACAGCTGTTAGGAGAAAAACGACAATAAGGATAAAGAGTACAAGGGCACTACTTATTTCATATTGAAATCTCTTCCAGTAGGCCCGCAAAAGGAAAGAAGAATTAGGAACACACAGTGCATACAGTAAACATTACATATAATAATATATACATATTACAAGATACAAAACAATTTATATACATACAAATACACACACACACACACACACATATATATATATATTTTACTACAAAGGATGCTGTGAGTACTTAATTGAAATTTCCGCTATATACCTGGAGTTGTGGAGCCTGGTTTCTGCTGCATTTTAGCCAGCATCAATGCTGCTGCGCGTCCTCTACCGCCTATACTCACTCCTGACTAAAAATATTTTAAGTATCTTTTTATTTTTTATTAACGCTAATAATTGGAGCATATTGTTAGCAACAAATCAAAGTTGATTACAATCATTTAAGTATAGTTTTTTCTATAAATTATATAAAAATAAAAATATCACAGGACTAAAATTTTATCAGAAAGAGAGAACATATAAAAATGGAAAACAGATATGACTATTCCTGTTGAGTTCAAACTTTGACCATATATATATAGAATTGAAGCTAATGAGTTTGTCTCTATTAGAAGACATTATTTTTCAGTGAATATACTAAATTCTTTGATTAAATTTACTTAACCATATTTTTAGAGAATCACACATAAAAAGCATTTAATTGATAGCTTTTCAGTAAAGATTTCAAATCAATCATAACCCTGACAGAGCATTTTTAAAGTAATTTCTTATTCACTGCAGTCAGAGCTGTAAATAAGAAATTACTTTTAAAAAAGCACCTAAAATATTACTACTTACAGTACTAGGAGTTGCACTTGCAATGGTACTTGGAGCTGTACTCTGTTCTGGTGTACTTTCAGGAGACTGACTCTCAGATTGTGAGGGAGAGTCCATCATTTGTGACTTCTTCAGTGCCTGTAAAAGGGCTAAGCTTCGCCCCCGGCCTTTGCCTGTGTCTGCCATCGCTAACAATCTCCAATAGCTACAAATAAATCATAACATTAAACAAATATCTCAATAATTGTTCATTAATAAAATTATTAAACAGCTTGCTTCGTTTTTAATGTTATTGATATTGTTTTATAAGTATGGTTATGTTAAATATTGTAAAAGTATACAATATTATTTGTGTACGCTTTCCAATTGATAAAATACAAAATGTCATGTGCAATACATCTTGATAAGTTGGGTAGTTATACGCAATTTAATTCACTTAATGCAATCCATTGTTAGGTTAAAACGTTATTTGTTATTGTTTTAATTGAAAAAATCAGTGGAGACATTTAGAAAACGTATTTTACTTTGCAACTAACCCACTAATGTTTTATGCTAAATAAGCGATTTCTAAGTTCGACTAAGGGCGCGCAATCATTCAGAGTATTTTTGAATAATATAATAACTTGAAGGCTTATATTTCTATACACCTACGGCTTTTAAAGTATACCTACCAGGATCACCTAAAAATACGGCTAGCAGACGTATCTGAATGTGGTAAAATTATTTAAATATCGATGAAGAAATGTTTGAAACTTCTTGGTTGCTAATAATATTTCAGCTTGCGTGAAGTTGTTTGACATTTTTTATTTAATTCGTCAAGTGGACAGGCAAAGGGTTATTTTAGGGTTTCTTCAGGCTTAAACGTGTAATAAAAGTGGTTTAATAACTGTTTATCACGTGTAAAAGTACTTAATTGTGGGAAAATGAAACAGTCGCTGGTTCCATGTGTTTTTTCAAAATGTCCAGCAAAGTCTTTGTAAGTAGCCACTATTTTATTGAGACTTTATTTTATCCTATATCATCTCTTACATATAACTTCATCCCTATTAATGTCTCAAATTCAATAACTTTTTTTCATTTCGTTCCAAATAATTTTTCATAAAACAGCACAAATAAAAGAAGTCTGTATGGTGCGATACTTTCGCCTTTCCAGTTGAAAAAATGAAGCTACTGCTACCTTGAATTTGACAAAGCATGTGTTGACTGTTGTTGACAATTGATAATTTCATCTTAAAATTTTATTTGTGATTTCACCAATTACTTAAATTCAAACACATTAACCATACTTGATTAATTTAAATAATTGATATTTAAAGGCAGATTTTATTTTTAAAATTTTCACTTGGCAACGTATTTTAATAACTATATTTCTTACTCTTACCAATTTACTTTGAAACAATAACATTCTTATTGAATCGTTGCTGATAACAGTTTGATAACTTCAAATTACTAATTGAAACTATGTTACGAACGCCACTACGCTTTTTAAAAAGTAGTAAACAGTGCAACCGTGTACTATTCGCATCAACTTTACAAAGGTGAAATAAAAAAGTTATGCAATTGTACATAAATCATTAACTCCTTAATGTTTAATTAGCAGCGTTTATTATTTAAAAAGAAAACAGTTAAAAATCCAAAGGAAATGTAGTCTAGACTGAAACTGTGTCTTATCTTTCAGGCAGACAAGAAAGTACCATGGACTATCAGGTATTTTAAAGTCTGACATTCCACAAAAGAGTCCAGCTATTTTTGCATGCTTCCGTACCATGTTCATACAAACTCAAGACACACCAAATCCAAATAGCTTGAAGTTTTTACCTGGTACTAAAGTTCTGGAGCCGGGTCAAACTTTGGACTTTCCTAATATTGGAGCTGCACACTGCAGTCCACTTGGTAAGTCATTATTGTGTATTTGAATATAGGCTGGTTACACACCAGTATATCTTACTGGGGGTATGACATTTTGTGAGTCCACACGGGTAGGTACCACCACCCCGCCTATTTCTGCCATGAAGCAGTAATGCGTTTCGGTTTGAAGGCTGAGGCAGCCGTTGTAACTATACTGAGACCTTAGAACTCATATCTCAAGGATGTTGGTGACATTTACTTTGTACATGTCTAAGGGCTTTGGTAATCACTTAACACCAGGTGGGCTGTGAGCTCGTCCACCCATCTAAGCAATAAATAAAAAAGGCTTAAACTGAAAAGTGAAAAGTTTGCTAGTGACAATAAGTTTGAAATCTATGCTCAAATATGTGTTTTGTGCTAAAAGTTTCATCAAGAATACACTGAATAATTCTTAAGATTATCTTGGCCTTTTTGCCAAATCATCAATTGGCTTTAAAGAATGCAACAAAATAAATTTATTGAAACTAAAGTAAAAAATTTCTGGGGTAAATAAAAACTGACTCACTAGCAAACATTTAAAGTAGAGCTTAGCAAATTTTATATATAATTTCTTAACACCTCATTTGAAGTGAACTGTATGTTCATATGAGATAAGAATTTTCTTTTACCCTACATATTATTATATATATTCTAGTTCTCAAATCATATAGGTGAATTTAAGATAAAGCCAGGTGTAGAGAAAAAAATAATCGCTAGTGAAGCAAACTAGATAAATGGAATAATTTCATTTTGGGACTTAAAATGTATTACTTCTTATGGAACATAATAGTCTCAATTATAGGGCTGTGGCTCTATCTAGAACCCTGGATACTGAAATTTAGCCTAAAAAAATTTTTTTTTTTTTTTATGTTACTCCTAACGAGGTTCTTATTACAGTACTTTTTTTTTATCTTATACTATAAAAACGAAACCACTACTTCTAAATACAAAAGACACTTAGCACCACTTTATAGAAGAGACTAGTGAAAATTTTGAAATTTTGTTTCAGCCAAAATGTTATTCCGCATTGATGGAGTGAAAGCAGTCTTCTTTGGACCAGAATTCATTACTGTAACAAAACAGGACGATGATGTTGATTGGAAGCTATTAAAACCTGAAATATTTGGTACAATAATGGATTTCTTTGCCAGCGGACTGCCTGTGGTAACAGATGCTAAACCTTCGGGTGATACTCGTAAGTACTTTCATTCTTCTTCTTCTTCTTCTTCTTCTCTGTCGTTTCCTCATTGCTGAGGGTCGTGACCACCTTGGTCCAGTTTTTGCACCAACTTCCTCCAATGCTGCCTGCATTCGGCCTGCTTAATGGCGCCCGGGACGCTGGTGTTTGTGGCCTCCTTGATAATGTCCGTCCACCTGGTTGGCAATCTTCCTCGACTTCTCTTTCCTTCCACNCTTCTTCTCTGTCGTTTCCTCATTGCTGAGGGTCGTGACCACCTTGGTCCAGTTTTTGCACCAACTTCCTCCAATGCTGCCTGCATTCGGCCTGCTTAATGGCGCCCGGGACGCTGGTGTTTGTGGCCTCCTTGATAATGTCCGTCCACCTGGTTGGCAATCTTCCTCGACTTCTCTTTCCTTCCACGTGACCTACAACTATTAATTTTCATTCAAGTTGTTTTAAAAACAAAATGTAATTTTAATTCATGAAACTGCCCAATACTATATGTATAATTTTGTAGAATTCAAAATGCCTTGCCTTCCTCTTTATAAGTTGAAGCCTTTTGAATCCATTTTGTAAGGAATAAATGTACTGAATTTGCTTTAATGTTCAATAGACTGCAGCGTAATTGATTTGTGAAGGTTGCTTGTTAATGTCTATGTTCTCCAGTAACCACACCCTCACCTGGTGTTGGTCTTAAATTCACCAGTGGAAACCAAAAATAATTCAGAAGGATAATATCAAAAGCTTTCCAAGCATTTACACATTTTTTTTAATTGCCATTGAAGGCAGGCAAGTTTATAGCCCATTGAATGGTGAATGGTTACTGCCACTTATGGCAATATGCGTAAGAAATGCCAGGGCTAAATACTCCAACACAAGCTCTGAGGCTACAATCGAATTGAACTGGTCTTACACGTCAATCAGTTAACTGATGAACAATACAGACTACAAGATGATGATAATGTCGTGAGAAAATAAATACAGAAATAGACATTGGGAGAAACAAGAAAGTGTGTAGGCTAGAGAAGGCTTTCACCCTTAAAAAGAATATTCTAAAATGACCAACAGCCTAACTCTTAATTTTAAATGTATTTATTACTCATCTATAAACAAATAAAGCAGCATCCATCCAGTTATTTAATGGTAATGTCACTTGTGTATCATCACTACATAGTAAAAAACAGTCGCTTTCTCTGACCCCATATCCCTATGTATGCTTAAATCTTCAAAACTACGCAACGGATTTTGATGCGGTTTTTTTAATAGATAGAGTGATTGAAGAGGAAGGTTTATATGTATAATAAAATCCATTAAATAGTGGAAAAATCAATAATAAATTACAGTTTCCGAAGCGAAACGAGGGCGGGTCGCTAATATATAAGAAAACAAGATCTATTATAATTGTTATTATTTGGAATCATATAATTAAATGTCTACTAAATATGTAGGTAATAATTTTGGGGGAATGTTACATAGAAATATGTTTAATTAAATAAAATAAAATAAAATAAAAGAAAACTGACATTGAAGTAACCACATTAAAGCATGAGGTAGAAGTCTTTATAGGAATGTAATACAGATACCTACCACAATCTTCATACCAGAACACCAATATTTTGCAGCACAAATATTCAGGATGATGATGGCGATGTAAGATGTATGTAGAAGTATTTACGTCTATGTATCTGGGCAGACAAGTCAAGCGAAACAGTGCCAAGAATTAGGCAAATAAAAAATTCAAAAAGTACCATGTACTATTTTGTTTCACTTACTTTTTGCTATATTTGCATATATTTCTAATTAACAGAGATAAACGAAGATGATGATGAAATAGTTCAAATGATAAAAGAATTGCTAGACACAAGGATTCGTCCTACTGTACAAGAAGATGGTGGCGATGTACTCTTTGTTGATTTTAAAGATGGAATCCTGAGGCTAAAGATGCAAGGATCGTGCTCTTCTTGTCCAAGCTCTATTGTAACTTTAAAAAATGGGGTAAGGATAAGTTTTCACTATTTATTAATTGACAATAATAATAATAAATTATAAAAAAGTCTACTAACCATACACCTAGTTCGCCTTACATGTATAATAGCTGGCCCGGCAAACGTTGTTTTGCCCTATAAATTATTGCTAGGAAAGATAAATAACCTGGATATCGAATTTATCGTACTACAATTATAATGCAACCTTATTGCGGATCTGTGCATAGAATAAAATGTCGGGATGGAAAAATAGGGCTTGATCGTTTATGAGTGAAAATTGAGAGTAATATGATTTTTTTTATTTTAAGACATGACAAAAAAAATTCTTGCCAAAAAATTCAAATTTATAATTAACAAATAAAAAATAAGGGTTGATAGTAGAGGGGTGAACATTTAGGGTTGTATATATTTTTGTATGCTGTATCATAAAAAAATAAAAACAAAAAAAATTGTCTAAAAAATTTTTTTGTGGTGGACCACCCTTAACATTTAGGGGGATGAAAAATAGATGTCTGATTTTCCACCCTGGCCGATATACACGCTAAGATTCACGAAAATCCGTGCCGAGCCGTTTCGGAGGAGTTCAATCACGTACACCGTGACACGAGAATTTTATATATCTAGTCAGGTCATAAATTCTGTCACATGTTTAATGTAAAATAATTGAAACAAGTTTATTCATTATGTAACCATTCATATACCAAAATGAACTTAACAAAACATAGATTCTTATGACACTAAAGTTTATTCAAAATGGCCTCCGTGATTTTGAATACAGGCCTTCAATCTGCGCGGCCAGTCGTCTATCGCAGCACGAACGAGGTCCATGTCAATATCGGCGGCTGCCTTAATCAAGGATGTCTTGAGTGACTCCAAATTGGGATGAGGCTTTGAGCACGCCTTTTCCTCCAAGTGTTGCCATATCTTGTAATCTAACGGATTCAAATCTGGACTGGAGGAGGGCCAGTCTTCGTGCCGGATGAAGTCGATTTCACGCGCCGCCAGCCAGTCTTGTGTGCTCTTCGCTCTATGAGCTGGCGCCGAATCTTGTTGGAATACCCAGTGCCTGTTATTGAACATGGTATGAGAAACAGGTTCCACAAGGTTCGTCAGGACTGTATTTTGATACACAACTGCATTCGTTTTTACACCTTTCTCACAAAAATGTACCTCTGTTAAGCCCCAATAAGAAACTCCCAACCATACCATGAGCGAGGATGGAAAATGACCTCGTTGGACACGCGGAATACGGTTGCTCGCTTCTTCACTACTGTGTGCGTACACCTTATCATTTTGTTTGTTGTAGCTCTCTTCTACGGTAAAAATTTTTTCATCCGAAAAAAGAATTTCCCGATATTTTTTTCCCGCGTACCGCTTCAACAAAGCGCGGCATCTCTTCAGTCTCAGGTCCATTAGACGAGCATTCAAACGATGTCCTGTTTTTCTTCGATATGCCCGAAGCCCTAAGTCTTCATTTAACACCCTTTTCACCGTGGTTCTGCTTAACCCCATCTGAAGGGCCAGCAGTTTCTGCTTACGTTTGGGATTTCTTTGAATTCGCGCCTTCACAGCTTTTATCACCGCTGGAGTCCTAACAGACGAGGGCGACCACTTCTTGACCTGTCATCTACACTAGAGTCTTCATTGTATCGTTTGATGGTACGATAAATGAATCTTTTGGTTATATTCAAATTTTTCAGTACGTTAAAAATTTGAATTGGCGCGTAACCGCAACGATGCAACGCAATAACTGCAACACGGTCTTCTTTAAGCGTCCACTCCATATTTAAAAATGAGTAAAATTCTAAAAGTATACATTTTTATTTTCATGAACAATTCGAAATTCAATAAACTTTTTTGTGGCCAGCATTGTAAAAGAAAAGTTTTTACTGTGTGACAATACTTATGACCTGACTAGTTATTAGATATAAACCGTCATCTCAACACTCACGCCTCTCTCTCACTCTCTCTCTCTTCTTCCACTTTGCATTACCATTTCCATACATCTTCTAGTCCCCTTCCATCATTCCTCATATGATCGATAAACTTGGAATAATCCATAAAGCATCACACGTTCCGGTTTAAAGGCCTTGAGAACTTAGTACAATACTAATACTAACACTTAGTCCTTAATCCATCTCAAGGAGGGTGGTGTCAATCACGTTGTTGGCTTTGGACTCCTCAGCACCAGGGGCCGTGATATTAAAAATAATAAAATAATAAAAGCTTAAAAAAATCGTGCGTTGTTTGTACTGTTATAAAAACCTTTAGTGTCAACTGTGTAAACTTCAAACAGATATTTTTATTACTAGATTAAGAGAATTAAAGCTTTTAAGAGAATTTACGTGAATTACAGGTACAGAATATGATGCAGTTTTACATACCAGAAGTTTTGGCTGTCGAACAAATAGACGATGAAGGCGAAAAGCTAAGCGAAAAAATCTTCCGGGAATTCGAGCAAAGTAAAGCCAAGGATGCAAACAAAGATACATAAATGTGTTATTTAAATTTTAATGTAATTAGATTTAAGTGTTTGTGATCGTTTTTAGTTCAATAAATTTTGTAATTAAAATGTTTTTGTATGTTGTTTGATATTTCTCTGTTGTGACTTAGGACGTTAGACTTCAATAGGTCGTATTTAGCGCGTATGGGTAGCGTTTTCCTGTCATTTTTTTAGCGAAGCAGTCGCGCGTTTCAATATATTTTCGGACAGCTATTATTGAGACTTTAAACCCCATGTAAATAAACGGGCATTTACGTTGTGATATCTTGATAAGTACTTAACAACAGGTAACCCTTGAACTTATCAGCCTATCTCAGTACTAAACACATGGTAGTCTTCTACGGCCTAACCTGGCAACACATCTTGTCTAATACGTGTAATGGTTTCGAAAATGAAAACATAAATAATACGCATAATATTTAAGAAATTAACATTCGAACGCCATTAAACTTTTATGATGATTGAAATAAAAGATGAAACTAAATTTTATTGCACGTTTAATATCGAGAAATACTTATTTGAGTATCGACACAGTTGAATTAAGAATATATTCCGTCAAGGGAATGAAAATTACAAATCTGGTATTACATTAACATCGTTCTATTACGAAAACATTAAACAATTATTAATTAAACTATACAAAAAAATAATTAAATACGAATTGACTCAGACACTAGATTTTTCTTTTTCATAACGTTAAATTACTCAAAATTTGCTTAAGTACATTTTAGTTTATGATTAAAATTCGAACATATGAAATACATTGATTAAAAAGACGATTTTATGAACCTTAACTAGCTTATAAATAGATAGATGTTCCTTGTTCGTAACAATACAATGGCAGTGTTCTATATAAATCTAATAGAATGAAACGACATAATAATCTGACTTTAGAATAATAATTAAAAAGAAATAGCTTCTAAATGTACGAGCTTGATTTTGCTCGCTAATACAAAATAATGATAAATTAATACGTTAATTTCACTTTTCATTTGGGAGTTTTTTGTGAATGCTTTGATTTGCGGAGAGTGAAGTGAGTTTAAGTGAGTTTTTAAATAACATTAATTTAATAAAATAATGTTAGCCGAATTAACTTTTGGCCTCCAACAAGTTTTGGTACTGATTTGATATTCGATTTTCGCGAGTCGTAGGCTTAATTGCAAGTACTTTTACGGTTGAATCCGAGGTTTCGGATATTTTACAGTTTTGTGGTCACGTCTGTAAACGAGGTCAATGAACGAGTACGTACTCTCAAATTCTACATCTAATAATTCTACAATAACTCCCAGTGAAATTCTATATAGTTGAGGATGGAACAAAAATTATCAAGGCTTACACCTGCAAACGCAGCAGGACGGAAATAGGAACCAGTCCATGAAGATACCGGCGCAGTCGTCTGACGGATCGTAGGCGAGCAGCCGGTGCCATTTGTATTTTTGCTCGCAACCACAGTCTCTGTTGCAACGGCCGGTCGTGGTTTTGCTGCAAAAAAGGTTTTTGTTAAGTCGAAATATATTTTAAAAAAGATGTGTGGGCAACAACCTACGGTCATTCGGTAACGTGCGAACTTATTGTGGTACACTTCATTCACGGTTGTTTGCTTAAGAGTTAGTGTATTGTGCAAACGAACGCTTTGAGATCGTGGTCAATCAATGATAAAAAAAAAATGTAATTTTTGTACGTTATTACAAAGTTCAGTCGTACACTGTGTGCATTATTAATAAAAATCTTACGTTACGGACGGTTTTTCCCTGTTAGGGTACCCCTCCACATCGTCCCATAAGGAACTTCGTTCCAAAAAAATACAATCTTCGCGGGAAATCGTTTATTGGGCAAATCAAATAGTGGATTAATCGCATGAATTATATTATATTATTATTATTATTCTGCGTATTTCTGAAAATAGCCGTTATATTAAACAATTAAGACTTAGGCTTCGTGTCTCATAGCTTGTGACTGCATTTCCATTATGAGGTCAACTAGTTCCGATAATAGCACCAGATGGACTGTGATTTTGTTCATCCGTCTATGAAATTGAAACAGTTCGACTTCTGGTCAGAGACAGTTTCTTTGTAAAATCTATCAACCAATGTGGGTATAGGTACTCCTTCTGTTTGTGAGCTGATTTTTGTTTTGGATTCCTAAAGGAAATTTTATCTAATTCATAATCACCTGCAAGTTTCCTGATGTATGGCCTGTTCAAAGTGCATAGTGTTCACAATAGCACGGAGTTTCCTTGCCGAGTTGAGGGCCCAGTATGGTGTCATGATTTCCGTTTTGCTCTCGCACGCATCCACCCTGAAATTAAGTCAGTTACTTTAAGGGTTTATTTGTTACACACAGAAGTTAAACAATATTTCATTAAATTATATTTTTTAGGCAGACGAGCATACGGACCGCCTGATGGTAAGAGGTTACCGTCGCTCATGGTCGTCAGCAATGCCAGAGGCAGAGCCAAGCGGCTGTCGAAAATTTTTTTTTATTTTTATTGCTTAGATGGGTGGACGAGCTCACAACCCACCTGTTAAGCGGTGACTAGAGCCCATAGATATCTACAACGTTAATGCGCCACCCACCTTGAGATATACCACTATAAGTTCTAAGGTCTCAGTATAGTTACAACAGCTGCCCCGCCCTTCAAATCGAAACGCATTACTGCTTCACGGCAGAAATAGGCGGAGTGGTGGTACCTACCCGCGCGGACTCACAAGAGGTTCTACCACCAGTAATTACGCAAATTATAATTTGGCGGGTTCGAATTTTACTACACGATGTTATTCCTTCACCGTGGAAGTCAATCGTGAACATTTGTTAAGTACGTATTCCATTAGAAAAATTGGTACCCGCCTGCGAGATTCGAACACCGTTGCATCGCTGGATACGAATGCACCGGACGTCTTATCCTTTAGGCCACGACGACTTATAAAATTCAAAATTCGAAATTCAAAATTTCAAAAATACTCGTGGAATGTGTTCGAATCTATCAATCAATAAGTCGCACCTGCCGGTACTGTTGACGGCCTGCGCGTCAGGCAGTTGCGTGTTAGAGGCCTGTCTTGCGTGACGGAAGTACGAATCCCCAGATGCGTCATGCATGTCCGGAACTCCGGGGGCCCTCTTCACTCGGCTGCCGGGCGGCGTTGAAAACGAACCGTACATCCGTTTTATCAACGCTTTGTTCTCGTCTATGAAGGTTTCGATTTGTTCCCTGTAATACGAAATCGTGGTTATTGGATTTTTTTTTATTTATTGCTTAGATGGGTGGACTATCCACAGCCCACCTGTTGTCAAGTGGTCACTGGAGCCCATAGACATCTACAACGTTAATGCGCCACCCACATTGAGATATAAGTTCTAAGGTCTCAAGTATATAGTTATAACGGCTGCCCCACCTTTCAAACCGAAACACATTACTGCTTCACGGCAGAAATAGGCAGGGTGGTGGTACCTACCCGGGTGGACTCACTAGAGTTCCTTACCGCCAGTAAAATGATAAATGAGCTCGGACTGGCTAATATTGGATGACGTTGGTTAAAGTTTCATGAGAGAGAGAGAGAGAGAGAGAGAGAGCGAAAGAGAGAGAGCGAGAGAATATACTATACACACCAAAGCATTTAAAAAACAATCAACAAACATATATAATTGTACCTACAACAGGCGGTCTTATCGCTAAAAGCGATCACTTCCACACAACCGTTTAATGAACAGAAGTTCTGAACAGAAAAAGATACAGCAAGGTATGTTGCGATATACTATTAATAATACATTATTAAAGACAACACATACATACAATAAACAGATGAAATTACATAAACGAAAATTCGTTGCTTCACTTACAAAGGATATGAGTTTCCAGCCGTTGGGCAATACAACTGGTAGTTTCTCTTAACGCACGGCACACCTCTGATTATTTGACCCTGGAGCTCGTATCCGAGAGCTAAAGATAGTGCTGTCCATAAAATCTGGAAAGAGGTTATAACGATTTAGTTCTTACTCAAGATTTTCACTCCCACCTCCCTAGCCTAAAGTTTCTGTCAAAAAAATTTACGGTGACTGTTAAATTTATTTTTTCGCATAAACATTTTCTAACTATTACGAAATAACCAATACGGTTTAACCAAAGAACTTTACGTTAATTTTTTCTTAAAGAATATAAGGATCACAAATGCTATTTTTGGTTCATTTAATTTCCTTACAAGTATAAATAACGTTTGAAAACTATAAAACCTGTAAAATGAAAAGGAACTCTTGAACACTTAATAAATTATTAAAAACAGTCCAACACGTTTTTCCTACACTAATCATACGGCTGTTTGGAAATCCCCTATTGTATTTTAGTGTAGAAAATCTGAAATTCAATTTTCATATTTTGATGTTAACAGAAACATAACCTGTCCTTTTGCGTTTTTTGAAAGATTAACGTAATAAGTTCATTCCGTTTTAGTTTATATCATGACATTTATTCAAAATCTTGACTTTTTTTTTTTATTACTTAGATGGCTGGACGAGCTCACAGCCCACCTGGTGTTAAGTGGTTACTGGAGCACATAGACATCTACAACGTAAACGCGCCACCCACCTTGATATACAAGTTCTAAGGTCTCAGTGTAGTTACAACGGCTGCCCCACCCTTCAAACCGAAACGCATTACTGCTTCACGGCAGAAATAGGCAGGACGGTGGTACATACCCGCGCGGACTCACAAGGTTCTACCACCAGTACAATGAAGACGATCGACGCATTGATGCTCTCCCCAAATTCGAGCTGAATGTTTGAATTGCTAGATCATCACTCCAAACGCTGGACCCATTAAACAACTCCCCCGTCACCAATATGCCCCGGACGGAACAAAACTTCGAATAAGGTCAGAGGGTAATTCGAACCCAAAGGATGAGGAAAGTAATGAATATCCTGCTGGGTCAGAACTATCTCAACTTGGGAGCACGGTTTTTAATTACTGGCTTCCACTTTACCGTAATCTTTCGCAATTATCAACCACGCGCGAGTGCTATAGTATACCCTATCCACAGTAAAATAGAAGTGTGGATTTATTGAAGTCATTTATGAACAAAAATACTGAAATGCTTGCAAAAACTCACGAATCGAATTACGGTATGACAAGCTAGGTACCAGAGCGCCTCCAAACGAGACCTAACAACTCATGAGTAGCTGCTTCGCGTATGAATCTACTAATACTACGGGATCGGATTCGCGACCCGCTGACAATTTTTTTTTGTTGCTTAGACGGGTGAACGAGCTCACAGCCCACCTGGTGTTAAGTGGTTACTGGAGCCCATAGACATCTACAACGTACATGCGCCACCTACCTTGAGATAGTATAGTTACAACGGTTGCCCCGCCCTTCAAACCGAAACGCGTTACTGCTTCACGGCATAAATAGGCGGGGTGGTGGTACCTACCCGTGCGGACTCACAAGAGGTCCTACCACCAGTAATTACGCTAATTATAATTTTGCGGGTTTGATTACGTATTGGATCCGGGGCTTCATAGTCATGAGTATAGGAAGACATAAAACACCGGCATAATTTGTTACAGTTACGTGTTGTTAACGTGATGATGACGAACCAAAAGGAAGTACCTTTCTGACAATGCACAATGAAACAATAGATGTACACAGCTAAACTAACAAGTAATTAACTAACACGGTTATTGAGTTGGATCGACAATAAACGAGTTTTGATTAAGATCTCTCATTATGTTAAGTGAGAAGTTAAAAAAGTGGGTTAATTTTAATACTATATATTCTGTGCAAATTTTTTTAAACTGTAGAGCAACCTTGTGGCTTCGTGGCTTCTCTATATTCAACAAAGTATACTACTAGAAACTAAAGACTGTGCTTAAAATAGTACCGACTATTTTAACTAGATATTTTACATCAAGACTTTCAATTATGTTCAGCGTAAGAACAAATATATATTTTCTCCAAATAAAAAGCTTTCGAAGATCTACTTTTTAAAATTTTGTTGTAACTGTATAATATACTAAGCAATTTTCAATAAAACATTTTTTTTTATATTAAATGTAATCTTATCATGTATGTAACCTATACATACTTACACTGAAGCGACTCAATCCAAACACTATATCCGACAAAAACCGAAATTAACTATTATTAATCCACTCACGTTAAACCAGAACAAATCCATGTCCGCCAAACAATTTGCTTAATTAACACGTCCTGCTTCTCAAAGGTGCGCTAATTAACTGAATGTTCACAAAACAAAAACAATTGACTACCGAAATGAGAGAAAAAAAAACACTTAACGCAACTCTGACGCACGACGATTTTATAGTATTAGCTGGATAACCGCTGTGAGGGACAAACTTTTTCAGTATACACACATTTATTATAATGTATTCGTATTTAAAGCCTTAGGCCTTGCATAGATAAAAATAAATAAAATCTTTGCTCATACAGATGAGGGATACGCAAAACGACAATTGCGATTCATAATGGCATACGCTACAGAACATATTATACTCGTTTTGAATATAGAATCTTAACGTGGAGGGAACGCTTTATCATATTTTTTTTATTTTTTTTATTGCCCTTGTAGGCAGACGAGCATACGGCCCATGGCTGATGGTGAGTGGTTACCGTCGCCCATGGACTTCAGCAATGCCAGGGGCAGAGCCAAGCCGCTGCCTACCGCTAAAATATTTAAACGTTGTTAGCTCGTAAGTGTAATTCAAGTGAATTAAAAGAGGATTTACGTTACGCAATGCCAAACGGAAAACTGGATCGGGTCATTAATAATTTAGCAAGCGCTTGTTATTTAGCAATACAAAAGCCATACAGTATATTTTAGAGGCAACTGTGTCAACAACCTTGCATAAAACGAAACATATTTACATATTTTTGTAGATAAAAAAATATAATTGAGAAGCGTGAAGGCGGCCGCAGTTGACTCCTGGCGCCGTATCTTGATAATGTGATTTGTGAACTTCGATGTTGATATGATATTCGATATGATGCACATTTCAATTCTCGATTTGCAATAACAATTCCAGTGAGTAATTTGAAATTGCTGAAGGCTTATTGCGATTCTGATGATAATTGATTTATTTTATTAAGTCGTTTTATCGATCTCTTACCCCATCTGGGTCAGTTAAGATATTTTTACGCGTTAACGATCGTAAGGACAAAACCAATTAAATTCTTATTTTCTTTTTCTCCACCTTATCCTACTAGGCGGGGTCGGCACAGTTAATCTTTCTCTTCCATTCTCTTCTATCAGCTGTAATCTCAACACTCACTCCTCTCTCTCTCTCTCTCATATCGTCATTCACACACTCCATCCATGTCTTCTTCGGTCGACCTCTTCCCCCTCTACCTCTGAGCCTCTAAAACCAATTAAATAATCAACAAACATTTATTATTTATTATTATTACTGTATTTATTAAAATCTTAATAATTAAATATACGTATATTTAAAAAGGGATTGAAAATATTATTTTTCAAAAACTTATAAAAAAATTGATTGCTGTCGGTGGCGGTGTCTACTACACAAGCCACCAGTGGTTAGGGCTCCAGGGTGAAAAACCTCCTCATAATACGAGCCCTATCAAGGATAGCTACTTTCTGTAGAACACACATATCCCAGATGGATATGTGTGTTCTTAAGGTGTTGGCTGAAATCTTTCGTTATCAAACCTTTCACGGACACGACTGTCGGAACAATGATGGTTGAATCAACATACTACACGGTGGTATTCTCGTAGGCCAGGTTGAAGATCTCGTCATTGGTGACATCAACCAATACTGCTCGACGCGCAGATCGTTTTATGTATTATAATTACAATAACAGACTTATTGCTAACAGTAGACGTATCCTTAATTTGTTTATTACTAATATTTGTAATGTAGATAAATGTTATAACAATAATTGATTTAAATTACAATTATTAGTTTCTTGGCAACATTAGTGTTACAACATCAATAGACGCGATCACGTATATTTGCGGTTTTCGCTCACTTATTTATTGGCAAGCGTACGAACCGATAAGTGAATCGTTAAGAATCATTTTACATATTTACATAACGTGTTCATGGTTTGACCGAAATTCATGCGATGCGATGCTCTCTTTCCTTTTCGCAATAAGAGGATCAGATTCCAAATACCAACAAACCTCGTCTTGTCTTGTAATATGTATTAGCATACACGCAAACAAACATTATCAATTCACACGTTTTAGGTTCCACACTTAGCAACTGCGAAATTTATAAGTATTGCAAATGCGTTTATGAATTGAGATCTTTAAAAGCTCAGCACAGTTTGTACCTACAAAATCTGCAGAATTATATTTTCAATAAATCATTGGCTTGCTCGAATTAGGTTCTAAAATATCGAGATGCACTTAGGAGCAATCGGCAACAAGGTGTAAAATTAAAATGGAGTGGGAAAATGATATTACTGGTGGTAGGTAGAAAAAAAACCTCGAGACGAGAGCTCTAAGTCTCAGTATTAAACCCTTCAAACTATTATGCATGATTGCTTCGCGATCGAAATAGACAGGAAGGATTGTACAATACATCTCATCCGTAAACACAATTAGTTCCCCTCTAAGACGTACATAATGAAACGCTATTTTGATTATCCGATTATGTACATATTTGATTTTACGAAAATGTATCTCAAAGTTCCTAAAATTATCATTGGCTAATATAAATTGTTGACAAGTTAAAAGATCGCGCTTCAGTCCTGACAGCAACCACGAATTATAATGAATCTGCGTAGAAACCAGTCGTTCTGCGGCTAATTGGTTACTTCGAATGCAGTGGGCGAAACCGCGAATGCTCTGTATCGACCGTCTGTTACAAATTATGCCTCGATTCACTCCACGTAGTCGTAAAACGTGACATTTTCTGAGTTGAGAACTTAGCTTTAGTCGAAGTCGTAATCTCCACGTGTACACTGCATTGTCACTGTTTATTTATTTATTTTTTGACAATTTGTTTCTACCGTGATATTAGCAGATCGTTTCGTAACATTTTTACAGTAATTTCACAAACGATCGCGGATCCTATCGAAAAATTTAATGCTCAGTAAGAACACAGAATAAAAATTTATAATGCATCGCAAATCCCGGTTCCCACAATACACTCTTAATGGAATAACTAAACAGCGTCACGAACGTCCAACTTCATGCGAAAGGGAAATTTTAATAATATTAAAATTCTAAACCTACGTGTGCATTTACCTAACAATCGAGGTGAATGTTCGGAGACTTCACGGCAGTTAGAATTATAAGGCGCAGTGACAGCGAGAATCTTAAAATTCGATCACGTTCAGAATCATCTGGCCTACGCGTGTGAGTCAGTTAAGCTTGATCGGACGTTTCCTGCGGGCCTACGCTGTCGCAATGCTAATCAGCCTTCGATTCTATGATAATACTAGCTGTCGGAAATGTAGTGCGAATTATACGGCCATTATCGTTGTACGTTTTAACAGTTGACAAAATTTAGAATCATCACATTTAAAGTTGGTTATTTGAAATTATTAAACAAAAATGTATGTACTGTTTTCAATGTTTTTGAGACCGGTTGTGGGAAGTTTTATATTCGAAACTTTTATGTTGATTCGTTTTGATTGGTGGCTTTGAGTTAAACAGACCTAAAATGGTAGACTATAATACTTAGAGTGGCCATAAGGAAAAAATGCGGTTTCGCGAAATATGGAACTGGAAAAAATATACTTCTTCTCGTAGACAATGCTGATATTTTTTGAGGTGTCTTATGTAAATTTAATGACATTCCACTATGCAGCAAAATTTGGGATAATTATGATGAAGTAATCAATTTCGCAAGTATCTAAATGAAATTGTCAAAGTCACGACGTACAAACAAAAAATCGTAAACGTTTATTTGTCGATGATTTGTACAGAATGTAATAGGCATTGATCGCGGCGCTGGCTACGTTGTGTAATTCATCAACACTACTTTACTTGAAATCAAAGATAATATTATTATAATCACGGCGCTCTACCTATAACTTAAGAAATAATATATTTTTGTTGGTTATGTGAGCATTCTGAATTTGAAAATATTAAAATATATTCTTACTTACTTAACCTATTTCTTTCGTCCACATCCTTACCAGTAAATCAAGTTAAATTGAACACAGGCTTTGTTCATTTTGGTAAATCTCGAGCCTACGCATTATTTTAAAGTGGCAACAGCACTTAAGTTTTGTGAATTCCTAAACCGACTTGCTGACCTGTTTGGTCCTTTATCCATATTTGACATTTCGTAGAATTAATGACATTTGATTATAAAGTAATCGGCTTAGCATCGATCGCATCAGGAAGTTGTAATTCAAATGCACATTTAACACAAACGACTCGGGGTCAGAATGTTTTAAAAAAATAAATAAATAAATACATTTGAATACGAATGCACACCTGGTGTTTTAATTAGGAAAAATCTTGATTTAATATTAAAATAGCCGAGCAATAAATACTTTGATTTTGCCGGTAGCTGAATTTGCGAATTAAAGTTTCGTTTGTTTTTTTTCTGTATTTAACTATTGCTCGCGAAAAATAGGATTACACAAACAAATTAATAGATAAAAATTATTAACCATTTTACCCTGTTTTTGCCGCAAAGTAACACTGCTCTCGAACTTGATCGGTAGAGAGCCCAAATATATTAAGTGTATAATCTATGGTAGAGAGGCTATATGTCACACAAGTGAGTGGTCGTATCATAGACCTATATAGAGGGACACGACATATTGTTCTATACGTACAATTGCTTATATAAATAGCACCCATTTTGAAGGCACATACATAAACATATATCTATCTCGTTCTTACTCAGCACTTTAACTCGCAGGAAAACAATATAACAGTATTTCAGTGCGTACATAAAATGAAACATGAATATACGTAAATATCTCCGTCTCCGTCTAATGAGGCCGAAAATCCGCCATGTTTAGCGCGCCAAATGTCATTGTCACGTCAGTTCGGCCGTCTGTTTTGGGTTGTACATTATTTATTGACTTTGATATCGATTTAATATGATTGATTATATAAAATTTCATAATTTATCATGCTTAAAACATACAAAAATAATAATTAAAACGTATTTTATAGGATCTCAAGAAAGTCGATGCCCTAAAACTATTATCTATATGTATTTAAATTCATTATGGAGCCCTCATCCGAAAAATCCATTTTTCGGTCGGAATCTATTGATCATGACACTAATCATAAATACCACTTTAAAATATGTCATCAAAACATATTTAGACATTCTGTTTAGATATTTCGGGAAAAAGGCTACCGACAAAATCTCTTCGGAACTATTTAAATAAAATAGTTTTATTCCGCAGTGAGTAAAACACTATTGTAAATTTGTTAAATATTTAATAATTAAGTGATTTTAGAGAGGAAGTCACAAGGAATGACGTTTGTAATTAATGAATAAATGTTCTGTAGGTGTTTTTTTTTTCACGCGGTCCCTTGATAAGTTTAAAATTTGAATCACTCTCAAGCGAAAGTGATTCAAATGGTGCGGCGCACCTTCCTTGGGGTGCGCTGCGGTAGTATGTTACGGACTTTAGAGTCAGCAAAACAATTAAAATAGATTGTAATAGTCTAAGAAAAACACGTACTCAAAATACGATAACATTTAGCATGCTAGAAATGGGCTGATGGCTTTGAACTACGCCATATCTTTATGTTTTGCGACAAACGACAACTTTATAAAATCAGTGTAGCAACTTTTAAAAATCATCATATCGTTTACTTGGCAAATTCGAAGGACGAACTTGTCTTAGATTTCACCCATCTAAATCATATCATATTTGCACATAACAATATACCTACTTACTTCCCATTAAAGTATAAATTCTACAAATAAATAATACTCAACAATATTTAAAATAAAATGAGCCAAGAACGTTTATCGATAAAACCTGATAACATTGAAATCTTTTGTACAGCACTAAAGCCGCCATGTTTTGTGGCCAGATGACGTCACAGTGGCACGAAATTTTGGTTGACGTTTCATTTCCATAGGCTTCCTACTTCATTGGGTCGTATTCACGTTTTTATGTCTATGGTTTCCGATAACCACTTAAGCACCAGGTGGGCAGTGAATTAGTGCCCATCAACAATATATAGAGCATAAAAAACAATTCTGTTTCGTAATCTAATAGTGTCTAAGTATATCAATTTCGAATGTGGCGGTCGCCATTATATAACGCAAGATATTTGACAGATGCCTGAATTTCGCTTACGACATTTTCAAGATAAGCTTGCATGTACATACATATGTATGCGATTTCCGAACAACAACATTTGGACCGTCGATCTACTGAGCAATATCACCCACTCGGCGGAAGATCTTCCCTTTGTCATAAAACCTACCACATTGAATTTAATTTGTATCAGTGATTAGTTATTAGCTTAATTATTTAGGGTTAGACTTGTTTTGCATGAAACCGTATCGTTATTTTTTTTCTATATTATTGAAAATAATTTTTTAACTATACTTAACTACAGGCTCATTTATATCTACTCGTTCATATAAGCTAATCATTTGTATGTATGTGTGAAGTATATAATGGAAGACATTTTCAGCTTACATAACAATAATATCTCTTCTATATCGTTCCCACACTACTGAGGATCGCGACCACATGCGACAATAATATGGCCAGTAGTTATTTCATTAGAAAAAGTAATATCTGTCTGCGGGATTCGAGCACCAACACAGTCAAATCGTTTGATACGAATGCACCGGGCCTCTTATCCTTTAAGTCACTTTTTTTCTTTTTTTTCCTGCCTAAGCTGATGGTCTAGAGAGACCATGTCAGCGTCACCGGGCTAGTAGGTGAGCTCACGGCGCTCAAACCTAACGATGTTGCTAACACGAACCCTAGCAAGAGCCGTGCTTCGTAGAATCTACCACCAGATCGGAAACGAGGCCCACTTAGAAGATCAGGCGAGAAACTCAGTGGGCTAATTTAAGTCACGACGATTTCACACGACTCACTACGTTGTAAGCTGATACCAGAATTCATAAATAGCATCGGCTGATCTACCAATGGCATAAGAATACGAAGCAAGACGCAGGCCTATACAATTTCGCGTCTCCGTTCCTATCGATTCATCGTCATCATCATCTCAGCCTGTCTACTGTCCTCCAACTGATGTCCAGTGTGGCCGGTCCTATCGATTAATGATATAAATATAATCTCACCGGTATTTGGTAGAAGGATCCATTGTTGACTGTCTTATAGGAGGTTAAAGGAACGACCGGCACTGATCCGTTTCGTAGAAGTATCGGACCTTGCAGCGGCGTCACAGCAGGTTGACCTGAAATAGAAAATATAATTTTATTGCCACCGAACTTCTGGTAAGTGGTTTTTTACTGGTGGCAAGACCTCTTGTGAGTCCGCACGCAGCAGGTACCACCACCCTGCCTATTTCTCCCGTGAAGCAGTAATGCGTTTCGGTTTGAAGGGTGGGACAGCCGTTGTAACTATAGTTGAGCCCTTAGAACTTATATCTCAAGGTGGGTGGCGGCATTTACGTTAAAGATGTCTATGAGCTCCAGAAACCACTTAACACCAGGTGGGCTGTGAGCTCCTCCAACCATCTAAGCAATAAAAAAAACTGAAAACATTTAACCCGAGAGATATTAGTTTGACTGATTAGCAATCATCGGATTCCAACTCTTCAGGCCGACTGGTATTACATTCTTATGATAGATAGTACACCTCAGTCTTCTCTTTGTTTTACAATAAAATACCTTTTCCTCAAACTCATTGAATTTCACGTCAGATGTTCTTAGGGAGTCGCGTCTTCGATTCAGTGGTAGAGTCAGCACCGCTATTGTTAGGGCACAGTCTTTCAGGCTTAGCCTCGTCAGCTCGCCCATCAGTCTTGAGAAGCCAGAATAGCCTCTCGAAGCTGGTCGGCTGAGGTAATGACGTTGTTTTGTCAGTTGGCTCCAGTAACTACTTCACAACAGATTAATCATAACCTTGTCTGCCATTCTAGACTAATAGAAGAAAAAAACAACTGCCCTTAGTTCTGTTCTTTAGTAAAGGTTGTCAAAAATCACGAATGTATCACATCCTTTCTACGGCAGTGTGATCATATTTTTCGCTCTAAAGGCGTGAAGGCGGCTATTCCGGCGTAACTCAGGTTTCGACCCAACAGTGTGGTTTGTGCGAGTTTTTTTTTTGACGCTCTCGATAGCGAATACCGCCCCTAGCGGCAAACCTATGCAAACGTTCCAACTGCATACAAATTTGAGTTAACTTTTACGCTATCGAGAACGTTTAAAAAAAAGCTCGCACTAAGCAAACACTAAGTAAAAAAGTCTTTTTTACTTTCATTTTTATCTATAGTTAACCAAACGTCAGTCTTGAGCACGTCAGTCTGTTTGTCGAAACTAATAATGAAAACGTAAGTGATTCAAGAAACGCACGTCGGCTTTCTGATTTGAATATTTTTGCACTCCACAGTGAGAACGCTGCAGTATTATCAACGAGTCCGCTACCTTTATCTCACCTACATAACGTTACGCAATACGTTCAACTCGAAACACAATGCGTCACCCTTAAGAAGCCGATTGCGAAATCGCTTGTCTCCCAAGCTGATAGGTGAAACCTTTTTTATATTCTGCGACATACCCACGCAAGTTACGGCCCTACTATTTGTTTATTGGCTTTCGAGTTTATTTTTGCATCATATAATCGTGCTTATCTTACCAGGTGTCACAATACAATGTTTTAAGCTTCGAAAATTCTCCAGTCGATACCTAGTGTCGTTCCTACTAGGAAATGTTGGTCCGGTTGCATCGGAATAGAACAAATTCTTATTCCGACTCAGACTCAAAAGTCAAGATATAATGGCGGAGACGGCGAGCCAATCGATACATCGTTAATGCTAGATGCCATCAAAGATTCCGTAATATTTAAAAAAAGTGGTATTTAGAATTTAAATAAAAAATAATGCTATATTCAAATAAAAAGGTTTAGAAATTATCTACGTTTTTCTCCTCGTTTTTGTTTGATCGAGATTCAACTGCATCACATATTTTAAACTAAATTCGCAAATATTTGCATTTTGTTTTGAAACTATTCATAAAATACAGATGAGCTTTGTACGTAGCATTCCATAGCAATTAGATTTGTTATAGATTTTATGGTAGCATTATGCTAAAATTACTTTGTTGTTATGATATGGAAGTTGGAAATAAAATCGACAAACAAACGGTAGGGGTAAGTTCAACGCACTATTTGCAGCTGTGAACTGACATTGACATAATAACTATGATTAAAATCTTTTTGGGTTAAGTCGTGAATTTAAATTTAATGCCATGTCAGTAATTTAGCCTGAAACATTAAAGTGTTTAGAGCAAGATCTTGTTATTTGCATAGCAAAATTCGCAATTGGCTACCAAATTTACGAATAACTGTTTAATCACTTTTTTTCTAGTTACATTGGGAAAGGAGCTGGGATTCGTCCTAATGAAAAGTGGTTATCGCCACCGTGGACATTGGAATACCACATCTTAAGTCTCGTTAAGGGAAAGCTATGCCATGGCATGCACTAAGTGTAAAAAAAAAACACCAGGTCACATCAGTTTTAGTGACATAATTATATTCTTTTTATTATTTCCGACTTTTTGAACACTTCAGTTTTTGCGGCCACGGAAGTGTAAGGGTATGTAAATATTTGTTTATTGTGTTAGCTACCCTCAAAATTTTACTAAATTATTTATTTACACAGAAACATAGCATTGAGGTCTGGCAGTTTGTTTTATTGGCGCTTCATCTTCACGATCAGAAGATCCCAGTGGCAAATAAGAGCCAACCATTTTAGAATCTTTTTAATTCATTTCAATGGCCACTCATACCATACGCGGAATTAGTTTAAGTGAGCATTTGGATTTTGTGAAATCATACAAACATATTGGCGCCACTGTAAGTTTTTGTTAGTCGCATTGCCTAAGGCCATAGGTTAGGTGTTAAACCAGGGTTTAACCAGCATGATGACCGTATAATCCATTTTTCATCACAAGTGGTCATCGCAAGTGGCAATGCGGTTCAATAACCCCTTTGCCTCTGAAGCATTCCAAGTATACCTTAACACGTTTTATTTTTGATAGAGCAAGCATTGTTACTATTCAAAAAACACATAAAAGAGCATAACGTGGCCTTTAAAATCGTACCTGTGATTGTACAGTGCATTTTATTATTAGATCATATTATGAGGCTGTACGATAAGATACCATGATCCTTCACATTTCCGAAAAGCAGACGTGTTTTAGAATAAGACGAATCATTCGAATCTTCGAATAAAGGCTTCGTCAAACAGAGCGCTCTGTCGCGGCGTTAGGACGCTTTGACGTCAGGCGTTGTAATGTTTTTACAAATTTTATTTTAGCGTCCGAGTGAATGTGTATTAAAATAATGGATAATGCCCGAAAAATTTATATAGAATTAGTTAGGAAATACTCATGTTTATACAATGCCACATCTGAATCACTCGACATCTTAATACTTTTAAATTTTCACACTGCAATCGAAAGGCACTATGATTTGGCGTTAAGTTGCGTCAAGGAGCATTGGACTCGTCTAGTCAAGAGCGCGACGTTAAAACGCAGCGCTAAGTACGCGTTCTGTTTGACGAAGCCTTTAAAGATTTTATGATCACAGCCGAACGCCGACCTCGTTTCTGCTAATGACTCAATTTATTTAATATTTACTCATCGCGCTCATTAAAATTTAAATCTAAATACGTGTTCTTTTAGTAGTCACGTATATTAATCCTTGATTTAAATAAATTCGCATTGCCGACACTCGGTCTAATGTTCATGTTTATGATGCATACGTGAAAACGTTGGTCCGACCAGATCTCCGAGCAAACCAGCGGACCACTTAGCGCTGCACTACACCAGGCAACTGACCGGAACCGATGGAGACTGGCAGTCGACAAGCTGAAACGCAGTCACGATCCTCAGCAATGAGGGAGCGATGGAGAAGAAGAAGAAAGAAGTTGGAATAATGATTAAAAGTTCTATCCTGTCCCGTGAGCCCATTTTCAAATAAAATACTTATGCAATGGTTTCCTTATAACCACATGCAATTTGTTTCTCAACGAAAATATCTAGAATTCACCACGAGAACTTCAAATAGTTGCTTAAATGCTTTCGGGAATACACATACGAAACACGAGCGAGTATACCCGACGATACGAATTCCGAAATAAAATTGAATTCTGATATTAAAAAAAAAAAAAAAACACGGTTTATATGCTTCATATTTTACTTTTTTATTGCTTAGATGGATGGACGAGTTCACAGCCCACCTGGTGTTAATTGGTTACCGGAGCTCATAGACATCTACAAATGCGCCACCAACCTTGAGATATAAGTTCTAAGCTCTCAGTATACCTAGTCAGGTCATAAATTCTGTCACATGTTTAATGTAAAATAATTGAAACAAGTTTATTCATTATGTAACCATTCATATACCAAAATGAACTTAACAAAACATAGATTCTTATGACACTAAAGTTTATTCAAAATGACCTCCGTGATTTTGAATACAGGCCTTCAATCTGCGCGGCTAGTCGTCTATCGCAGCACGAACGAGGTCCATGTCAATATCGGCGGCTGCCTTAATCAAGGATGTCTTGAGTGACTCCAAATTGGGATGAGGCTTTGAGCACGCCTTTTCCTCCAAGTGTTGCCATATCTTGTAATCTAACGGATTCAAATCTGGACTGGAGGAGGGCCAGTCTTCGTGCCGGATGAAGTCGATTTCACGCGCCGCCAGCCAGTCTTGTGTGCTCTTCGCTCTATGAGCTGGCGCCGAATCTTGTTGGAATACCCAGTGCCTGTTATTGAACATGGTATGAGAAACAGGTTCCACAAGGTTCGTCAGGACTGTATTTTGATACACAACTGCATTCGTTTTTACACCTTTCTCACAAAAATGTACCTCTGTTAAGCCCCAATAAGAAACTCCCAACCATACCATGAGCGAGGATGGAAAATGACCTCGTTGGACACGCGGAATACGGTTGCTCGCTTCTTCACTACTGTGTGCGTACACCTTATCATTTTGTTTGTTGTAGCTCTCTTCTACGGTAAAAATTTTTTCATCCGAAAAAAGAATTTCCCGATATTTTTTTCCCGCGTACCGCTTCAACAAAGCGCGGCATCTCTTCAGTCTCAGGTCCATTAGACGAGCATTCAAACGATGTCCTGTTTTTCTTCGATATGCCCGAAGCCCTAAGTCTTCATTTAACACCCTTTTCACCGTGGTTCTGCTTAACCCCATCTGAAGGGCCAACAG